GGTGAGGAAGAGAAGAGATTGGAGCTCCTGTGCGTACATGCAGGTAAGTTGGGATTGCAAAATCCAACGGAGGAGACGTACGCGTTCCTCTATCTTCTCGGTGCCACGTTGCATCTACGAAATGCAATCTTGGATTGCGAGAAATGGAAGTTGTTGACCAAGTGGAAACCGGTCATGAAGCGACATCTGATGCGAGCTGCGACTCCGCCTAGCAGACCTTTGATATTACCACAGAAGTGGGAAGAGTGTCCGGAGGCTCTGCTGCGTGCAGCGTATCCGGATGGATTTCAGCCGGGTTTGCCCACCCAGAAGAGTTTGCAAGAAATCATTGCCTTGGGCAAAGGTTGGCCGTTGCGCAGCACCAATGTGGTTGCTGTCAGTGGAAACTTGGGCATGGCTTCTTCTGTGCCATATACCGGGACTGACGCGGTCCTCGCCATGGCATCTGCTGTGGCCCGAGAGGTTTCCAAGGCGGTGAGTGAAAGGGTTTTGCCTGCAGCTGCGGCTGCTGAGCCAGAGATTCCGGGCTTGCAAATTTTTCCGCGTCCTTCTGTTTGACCGCAGCAGCAGCAGCAGCAGCAGACACAGCTCGCTTTGATGGATAAACCTCAGGAGACAGAGGAGAAAATTCCGAGGCAGGTGGATGCAGCAACTTCGAAACCGCAGGCCATGATTGACAAAATTCGTGCCGACCTGGAAACAGAAAAGTCCGCAAAGCGAGGCAAGGAAAAGGAACCTCTGCCAACGAAGAAAAAGAATAGTGGCGGCAAAAAGGGTCCCAAGAATTCTGTCTTGAAGCGACCGGCCGCTGCTTTGAAGAGGCCAGCTGCAGCTGCCGTGCCTCTGCAGGAGCCAGATCCTAAGAGGGCGGCGTTGCTGAAACGCATACCAGCCAAGTTGCTGGAACGATACGCAGGTGGCTGTAGTCGCTGCTATCATCGGAAGTTTTGCACCGTGTCATGCTGGGGCCGCAGAGGGTACAAACTGTAGCGTAGTTAGGGTAGACGGTATAGGTGCAACCAGTCCGGACGATGTTTTGTTGCAGGCGATGGTGGAAAAGAAATTGTATGGTTTATGGGTTTGTGTTTGAAAGTTAAAGTGAATCCATTAATTTAGAAATGTTTCTCTTTTTCTTGTCACCGTTTGTGCCGCATGCTATTGTGTGGGAATTCCCTAACACCCATATAGTGTTTATCGCATCCTTTTAGGGCTCGAACTGTACTGCGACGGCTTTTCCTCGGTTCTTCTGTGCGCTGACACAGGCAGGGTCTGGGGATTGGTAACTTTCGGATCCTCCTTCCCATTCTCTGGGGGGGGTTGGGGGGCCCCATTTTGTAGTGAACCAACCCCTGTCTCTACAAAATGGTTCTGGTACAGTCTCCATCCTACAAAATGGTCTGTCTATAACCCATGGCTCTACAAAATGGTAGTGCCTGTCACCTGTTTTGATCCACAAATATTTTGACAATATAGTCAAAAAATGATCAAACCAGTGCATTCATGATTTTATAAAACATATAAAAATCCCAGAGCCATTTTGTAGAGCCTCTATCTTGTCAAGACCTCAGCGTCAATTGCCTTTTTCCCAGTGCCATTTTGTAGGGTTTTTACCCTCTAGTCGTCTTCACTCCTCCTTTTCGGAGGTGAATCCATTTTTTTCATGTAACTTTTGCAGCATGAATATTTTTCTATGTTGTAACAATGTGCTGGCAATCCTTCTGAAGATGGAAACTTTTTCCGGTTCCAGTATGTTCCAGTCACAAAAACGGTCCCAGAGCAAAAACGAAGATCAGGAGAAGAATGCTATTTTGACACAGATCTTCCAGGGAACAATCGGTATCGAAGTTTGGATAAGGCTGAAGAATCCGAGAAGATCCAGAAAGATCCAGAAGGAACAAATTCAATCACAATTCTTTGCCGCTGCTCTTTTCAACACAATCATAAAAACAGGGTCGATCTTCAGACCTACACCAGTCTACAAAATGGTCGACTCTAGGCAGCAGGCCTAACCATTTTCTAGAAAAACATACCCCATGGGTTATAGACAGACCATTTTGTAGGATGGAGATTGTGTACTGGAGCCATTTTGCAGAGAAAAGGGGTGGTTCACTACAAAATGCTCCCCCCCCAACCTCACCCATAAAATGGCAAGGGGGATTTTGAAAGTATTTGGGGTCTCGGGGTTTCTTGTCATATGTTCCATCAGGTTGTCGTCGTGTGGATGTTGTGGGTGGTGTGTTGTGGGGGTTGCTGGATTGCCCTCAGGAGTGCATGTAGCCGTGTCATCTTTCACAGCACCAACATGCTGTGCGATCAGCACCAAGCATGCGAGGGCCAACATGGTGGGTTACTGGGACGGCGGGGAAATTGAAATGTCCTAAAGTGTTTCCGAGCCAACCATTGCAAACACAAATATGCACTTACAAAATGGTACATTTATTGAAACGATGATTTCTCTACAGAATGGCTAGCTGATTTTTCTTTGTCAATGACTAACTCACATTGTTTTAAAGCACCAAATCATACCCTTAAAAACATCTACAAAATGGCTTTTTGTTTGTTACAAAATGGTTTGTCTTGGTGCCCATAAATGATCATGCCTTCAAAATAAAAATTATAAAACCATGTAAACCCTACAAATTACTACAAAATGGCATGCTCGACCCCATATAAGGCCAACACTTCCCATAAAATTATGCCATATAGGCACCCCAACCCCCCTCGATCTGTGGAGGAAATGGCAAGGGGGATACTTTCGGGTTATTAAGGATACAAACTGTTTAGCAACTATGATTAATCGTAAGAATGGTTTCATCCCTTGTCTGTGTCTGGGCTGAACTGCAAAGAGCTGCTGTGGTTTTTTTCTGATGATGAAACTGACTGGATGAGCACCTGCGTGGTGGCATTGACCGCAAGAGGTCGGTGATACCTGCGTGGTATCGACGTCCTTTGTCACCTGCGTGCTACACTCACCTGCAAGGTGAGAGAAAGCTGCTTGGTATCCGCTTTCTCTGTCACCTGCGTGGTGACACTCACCTGCGTGGTGAGAGATTCCTGTGTGGTATCTGCTGACTTCGTCACTTGCGTGGTGACACTCACCTGCGCGGTGAGAGATACCTGCGTGGTATCTGAGAACGTCGCCACCTGCGTGGTGGCACTCACCTGCGCGGTGAGAGATACCTGCGTGGTATCTGAGAACACTGTCACCTGCGTGGTCGCACTGACGTGCGTGGTGAGAGATACCTGCGTGGTATCTGAGAACGTCGTCACCTGCGTGGTGGCACTCACCTGCGTGTGAGAGATACCTGCGTGGTATCTGAGAACGTCGCCACCTGCGTGGTGGCACCCACCTGCGCGGTGAGAGATACCTGCGTGGTATCTGAGAACACTGTCACCTGCGTGGTGGCACTCACCTGCGTGGTGAGAGATACCTGTGTGGTGTCTGATGACCTCGTCACCTGCGTGGTGGCTGTGCCATGTGCTAGGTATGTCACCTGAGGGGTGGCATGTCTTTGCGCATCTGCGTGGTGCACAGAGCACGGGCACGCTTGCGCTCTTTCTGTCTTTTCACTTCTATCTGTTTTAATGTGTGTAGTGCATGGTGTCCGCTTATGACATAGATAGCCGTCTTATTTTGTTTATACTGTATCGTAGCATGTCGTGTCGTCTTGCTGTACCTTCCATCTGTTTTCCAACGAATCTAAATGCCTTGTTTGTTCTGGCAGGCGCATGGCGGGCTCCAAGGAAGAAGAAAGTTCCTCCCAGGAGGAAGTTTCTGCGGAGGAATCTGCAGATACGAAGAGTGAGAAGGAGAAAGAGAAGGAGCAACCGAAAAAATCTCGCTCGCGGGACCCGCCGCCGTCGACGTCATCATGATGGCCGCTCCCATGGCAAGCGCCGTGGTGGTGAGTCAGAGGGACGACACCGCACGGATCGTGACCGTGATCGCCGCAGCGTGGCTTCTGCAGTTCCTGAGCCGCCGCATCCTCCCAAACACTCCCACGGTCCTGACACGATGAAGAAGAACAAAAAAAGAACAGAAGGGACCCAAGGGAGGCAAGGGTCGTGGTAAGACCTTACAGTGGGTCTGCGAATACTGCGGACAGAAAACTGCCCCGCACAATGCTGTTCTCGAGCAGCATCAATACCTCAATGAATGATGGTGTTTGGCACACCAGATTTGGTCGCAGATGACCAAACAGGACCGAGAAGAACAGTGGTCGTGGTATGAAGCCAAGAAAATCGCCCGTGGCAAGAAGTATCAACGCGAGACCATGGCAGCAGAGGAGGGGTGGGATCTACCGGAGGAGGATTTCCGAGGACGCAGTGTGGCGCTGTCTCTGCGTTCCAATCAGGAGCGTCCGGCAAGCAGCGGCCGGGTGCCGTCTCCTGAGCCACCGCCCTGTTTGCCGCCGCCGGAGCCGGAGAAGAAGAACAAGAAGAAGAAGAAGGATGACTGCGAGTCGTCCCCATCTGATGACAGTGACCACCGCAAGGGGAACAAGAAGCGCCGCCAGGTGGTCATCAATATTAATTAGATGACAGTATCTCCTGGCTCCGCTAATAGCTGCGGCTCACCTTGCCGGTTCCATGCGCTGAGCTGACGCGGCACTTGGACACGCGTGCTTCGGGTTGGAAAAAGGCAGCTCGTGAGTCCGCTGTACTGGGTCTGGAAGGAGGGATAGGAAACAGAAAGAAAGGCAAATGCAAAACGTAGACTAGTCAGTTCTGTCGGCTGCAAGGTATATTTATGTTAGGTTCTCGGGGTCTGTTGTCGTGGTAGGGATGTCGTTAGCTTTATAAAACGGAAATACCACAGCCTCATGTCTGTTTCATCGATGTGCAACGGTTCGGGTCCTTTTGGTTCCAGTTCGATATGGAGAGATTCATGTGCTGCAAGTTTCGAAAACAAATATAGCACACCAGCAAAAAGACAAGCAACATGTCATTTCCGTATCCATGTCAACTTCTTGGTAGCATTCCGTGCGCTGCCTATACTCATGGAGCGCGCTGTGACCTTTCGGCGTTCTACGCAGCATGTTGCGGCCTTGAACGAGATTCTGGTTCAGGCTGTGCAGCCAGGCGTCCGAGGCAGATGGCAGCCGAACCCAATGGCTGACTGGTGCGATGCTTGGTCGGACCTCAGTAGCTGCTTATATATGGCCGAAGGGAGGGCAGCACATGCGGAGGAGCAGCAAGCCCTAGAAGCATTGCTGTGATTTCATGCGCTGTTGCTGCGCGCAACGCATTGGACGAACGCAGGAACGACTGCTGAGGAGGCGGTCACGTTGCATTGCCAGATTCCTGCTGGAGACCATGGTCGATACCAAAACTATGAGCAAGAAGTTCGGGGATATCACTGTGATGAGTTCTCAGCAGCAATCACGGACGCTGGCAATCTGCTAGCGGCGCTGCAGGGGACGGCTGGGTTTGAGATAGAGATCCGCTGGCTGCTCCAGGTGATAGACGAGCTGTCCACCACTCAGCAGAGTATTGTGCATGGATTGGCTCTCCCAAAAGGAGGAAGTCCGCGGGTGTCCGCGGAATGGTGACCTGACCGGTAGTTGTCCGCGGCTGTAGTAGCAGAGACAAGAGAGCAAGAAAGAGTTTGTCCCCGGGAACCTATAGGATGGCTTGTCCGCGGGTGTCCGCGGTTGGTTCGAGGAACGGACTATTTTTTATCTTGTCTTCAGTTTGAAATTGTGTAAATATATATATATATATATTTGTATGGGTTGGGAAGCATGATCGACTCACGCCACGGTCCCATGTTAGCCATGCTCATGACTTGTCACTGCATGTTCTCTTCCGCAGCATTTTGCTTTGGTTCCGTATAGCTGCTGCTGGTTGCCGCTGGTTCTGCGCTGTCTGCCGCACATGGAGCCGGAAAAGACGTGTACGTTGTGTAGCCTCAAGTATCCCGTGGCTGAGGGCCGCGTGCATGGCCGCTTCTTCACGTGCATCACGTGTGCTTCGGCAGACCGTGCTCTCCGACGAAACTTGGGGAGTCAAGGCAGCGGTCTGGACTCTTTTTCGACGGACGAGTCTTGCAGATTCTTCCGTAGTGTCCATCGGAAGAAGCAAGAGAACCTGGGAGGGCGCCTGCTCTGGACCACACTTCGAGCAACGCTCGTGACGAGTTTGACGGAGCGCCGCATGCATACTCACAAGACAACGCTGCGAGGTAAGCAGTTGCCGCTCAGCGTGTGGATCCAGCAAGGGTGGCCCCGAGAGGTTGTGGAGGCGCAACCGAATGAGTGGTCAGAAGAATACAAATGCCGAGTCTATTGCGTCAATGTGAAGGAGCTGAGCTGGCAGGAAGAGTTCAACCGGATCGAGCAACAGCTCCTGCAGCATGAGCAGGAAATCACACAGAACCGGAAGGGCAAGAAGAAGAAAACCGAGGATGGTAATGACGCAGATGAACATGCTTCTGACCAAGGAGAAATGGATCTGCCAGCGACGGAGCCAGAGAAGAAATCAAAGGAGAAGAATCCTGAGGCTGCTGCCAAGAAGGAGCGAGCCAAGAATGTGAGTATTGCTAACCGTGCTGCCAAAGCCGTGGGTCCACTGCAGCAAGCACTGACGACGTTGTCTCAACTGGAGCAGCACTTGGCTAAGAGCAATGTGACCGTGGAAGCGGATTTAGCCGCGACGTGTCACAATGTAGTTGGCCAATTGAGTGGTTGGACCGAGGCTGCGCGGTCTCGTGTCGCGGCCTCTGCCGGTCTGATGGACAAGGGGGGGGGACTGCGCTGTGCAGCTCGAAGCTTTGCCGTTTGAGGCTGCAGATCAGAAAACGATTCTGCAGCAAGCGGCTGAAGTGGCGAAAGGCCTGCGTGCCCTGCTGCCCAAGCCAAAGGCGAAGGCCAAAGCAGAGAGCCGTTCACCTGGCAGAAAAGCCGGACAGGGGGCAGAGGCAAGTGCGGCAGAAGTGCAGCACTCACCGGGAGGCAGTTTGAAGCGGCCTGCGGCAGCTAAGGCTGATTCTGCCCCGAAGCGCCGTCGCTCAAAGTGCCCTTAGTCCTCCGCTGATTCGATCCGGCCAGCTGTTGCGCTGCCAGGTGAAGGTTTTGCCATACTGCCTGTGGCACAATCCCTGTGACGTTGCTATCGTCAAGGTTCTGCGATGAGTAGACACAGTAGGGAACTATGTCTGTGTTAGAGCACCGCAGAGAGGAACCAAAAAAAACTTGGGTGCGTTGCTTGCCGTTGTTTAAACAACAAACAACCCTCGAAATCCAATGTCTCTAACGTGGTAATCTACACAAACAGAAACAGATCCAGCGTAGTGCCTGCGATGTTACTATAGAACGTTGTGTTCGGATTTCCAACATCTGACCGCTGTCATTGGAAAACTTCATTTGAAAAACGTGTCGGTCGAATCCTAAAAACGGAAATCGGTAGAGACACTATAGATCTGCGCACACACAGAGTGACAATATGATAGTCACTATCATACTCCATTGGTTGAAAAAACGGCATCGCGAGACATGGTTATGTTCCACATGGTTGCTGCCAGTGCAAAGACTTAAGCGGAAGAAGACAAGAACGCGAGCAATATGTTTTCCCATTCGAAGAAAAAGACAAGGGGACAAAAAACGTATTTCTTAGAAGAAGCCAGGTTGGAAAAACCGTAGAAACATGTCGCAAGGCATGGACACTTATTATATGGCAAAGGAGCCAATTCCCATGATGTTCGATATTTGACGGGGCCTCCATGCTATTATAAAAAGATGAAACAGTGCCAATATCTGCGAATACAGTGTCGTGGTAAAGAAAATGTATACGATACGCATTGGCATGTATATATAGACATATATACATATATATATATATATATATATTGCATGAGTCAAGTGCCAAGAGTAGGGCACAGGTCGACAGTTGCGTCCCGCAGGTGCTTTGGCTCACATGTGACGGTATATAGAGAAAGGCCACTCGTATCCAATTGCAGGTTCCAAGCAATACAATTCTTCTAATTATGGATTTGGATATGAGAATGTTGTCATTATAACTTAATGAAACCAAGGTGGCTCAGGTTTGAATCACACATCGTGATGCCAAAGCGCAAATTAGATGCAGATGCCCCGCTGAAGGAGCAATTTCAAGCACTGCGGCAAGTGGCTTCCTTAAATCACAGACAATGCCGATCAGTAATGGAACTCTTAAATGTCGATAAAGTCGACACAGGGAAGAGAAGCTGCAGCCGGAAGGAACAGTTGTATCCTGATGCTGCAAGAGCTCTGCGTAACGTCACCGTGTGTGGCGAGAATACGGAATTGACCTTGCTCCTTTTTTCAGTGGTCGAATGCACGCAAAACAAATTAAATAGCTGCCCCTTCTTTCATGACTGCTTGGCTGAAGTGGTGCAAGCTCACAATTATGAATTGGAATTATTAGTGTTTTGGGACGAAATAGTTCCGGGTAATGTGCTGGCTCCTGACTTGAGGAGAAAAGCAGCAGCAACCTACTTTGCCTATGCCGACGTAGCTGCTCTATGGGCAGATACATCTTGGATGACGTTATCTCTGACACGAAGCCAAGAACTGCAAGGCATGCCACAGGGATATGCGCAGCATGTCCGCCATTTTGGAGGCGGTGTGGGAGGAAACAAAAGCAGGGTTCATGCTGGAGTTTCGAACGGGCCCTTGTCTGGTGCATATTCGCAAAATTTCTTTGCTGGCAGATGCGGACGGACTGCGTTTGCTGTTAGGAGCGAAAGGTGCTAGCGGATTGAAACCTTGTTTCCGCTGCACCAACGTTGTGGGAGGAGACCACACAAACCTTGGAAATCACCAACATATCAGCTCTGCTGCAGTCGAAAAGTTGGAGGCAGCAACGACGCAGGGTCTGAATGACATTGTTGACTATTTACAAAATCTGCCAAACAAGACTGCTGTAGAAAAGGCAGAAACCCTGCTCGGTTGGAATGGCAAAGCTTTGTCAGCAAGCTTTTTGCTCAATCCCGCATTGAAAGACATCGTTAATCTGGACGATTGTCTATATGATCCAATGCATTGTTTCGTATCCAATGGGATTGTGTGTCAAGAATTAGGGCTCTGGCATTCGGCTCTTGCTGGCAAGACCAACATAAGGTTGAATCATCTTTTGTCATATGCCAAAACTTGCTGGAAAGATTGCCCGCCCAATCTCAGAGACATGGGCAAACGATTCAGCGCAAAGCTGTGGGTCGATGGCAAAGATTTCCGTGGAGATGCATCGGAAACCTTAGATGTGTTGCCCGTGTGTGTGGCCTTCAGTCATGAACTAGTTTTGCCGACATATCCTGAGATGCGAGACGAAATCCAAAGTTTGACTTCTTTGGCCGCAGTCATTGCTACGTGGCTGCGTGCTAAACGTGACAATGCTGTGGCAATGGTGCCTCGCATGCGGCAGGAACAGAAGGACCACGTCCTTTCCTTTGTCAAATGCTATGGAGTGAACTTGGTGCGTCCCAAGTTACACTACTCCCTCCACCTGCCAGACCGATGGTTGAGAGCGCAAAAAACATTTGATGCATTTCCCACGGAACGAAAGCATCAATACTACAAATCGCGAATTGCGCCGCGTTTGAAACAGCTGAGCACACTCAATGCGGTGGCTCTCTTGGAGCTGGGAGAAAATGATTTGAAAATAACTGAGCAAGACAAAACGCTGTCAAGTCAGCTGTTGCGTGGGAATGCCACTTGTTTGTGCGAACCTCTCCAAAAACAAATGGAAGCAAAAAACTGGAAAATTACTAAACAGCTGCAGCACAAAGCAGTCGTTCATGGACAAGGACAATACAAAATTTTGCCTGATGGAACGGCACTTGAAATTGTGGGCGCAGCAGAAAGAAAGAAAGCCTTCTTTTTGCTTGGGAAACAGCTGCAAAAAGAAGAAGAAATAGCACCCACCTTTACACGCTGGTCTCGCTTGATCACCCTGACTAAGATTACCCTGCTGCCAGTTGAAGATTTGCCGCGCTGTGACAATGCCGCGCTACACCGCGTAGAGTGCACTGACACAACACACACCGCCAAAAAAAACGTAAACCACAAAACGCAAAAAAAAACGATACTAAAAAGTTATAAAACTTATAACACAACTTAGCCACCCCTCAACATAAGTTCATGTTAAGTTAGTTTATAAGTTCATAAGTGCCAGGCGTCCCTTCAGTACTACGTCTGATTTTGATTGACTAACGGTTAACGGAATGCCGACTGCGCCGTATTGTTCGCTGCGCAAAAGGGTGGTGCAAGGTTGTGTTGCGTTGTATCATCACGGGTGCCGGGACGCCAGGATGCCGCCCCGCCCTGCATGAACATGCTTTGAAGCCGTGTGCTGCCCATACCGCTTTTCCGTGTAAAGACCGTTCAGCCAAGCTTGAATTTGAGATTTTTTGGCCATGAAAGCCATGTCAGTCGATCTTTCTATCGGTTTATGTTGCGTGATAAGCGTCATTGTTTGCAAGTGTTGGAGTTTGAGCCTGGCAGTACCAATTGCAAACAATCCAAAAGCATCCAAGTATTCGAATCCTTGCGCAAGCACATAGTACCAACGCAATATAACCTAAAAGAAAACACCAATTTGGTTGAACATTACATTTATGTACATTGTGCAACTTTGGTCAGGCTTTCAAACAGTAGAATGCAAAATCCAGAACAAAACTGTGTTGCAAAAATCAAAGGAAAAAGTGCATGCAGTTGCATTGCTGTTGAGTGAAAACGGCAAGCTTAACACCTGAATGTAATGAGACAACACCTGAATGCTAGGAGAATGACTTAAATGAAAATCACCAGCAGCAAAATTGAAAAATCTGCTGGCAAATCACTATCGCAACCTTGATGCAGCCACTCCAATACGATTTACGAGGTCCAGCTGCAAAAGAAAATAGTATTACGCACGCAGCCGCGGCCCCAAGCAACCTTGACGCAGGCATTACAGTGCGATCTGCAGAGATTGAGTTGCAAAGCACAATAGAACTACGTGCAGCGGCGTCAGAAATTGCAGCTCCAAAACCGGATCCCAGCGCCAAAGCAAAAAAACGATTTTGAAGTACTTTTTATATAAAATGATCCCTGAGCATCGGCTATTGATCCTGATCAATAAGTTTTTAAAGCTATTGATTCTCTATCAAAATCATATTTCTACAATTGATTTTGAAAGCTTGTTTTCAATAGCAAAAACTCACCCAAAAATCAATAGGAAAAACCATGTTTCTGACTAGAAAAATCAATAGGAAAAAAAAACTATGAAAACCCAACAGGACTAACAGGACCCATGCGGTTTCCCTATTCCAAAAAAATCAAATTTGATCAAACTTGATCAAATTTGATCAAAACCACTGTTTTGATCAAATCTGATCAAATCTGATCAAATTTGATCAAATTTGATCACATCTTGTACACCACAAAAATCAATAAATAAATCAATTGGAAAATCAATAGGATCAGACCACTTTTGTTACCAAAAAATGTTGCAAAACAATCAAAAGATGTGACTTTCAAAAATATTGTTTTTTCAATAGAAACGATAAAACACAATATCAATAAGAAATGTATGTTTTTTTTATTGATCAGGATCAATAGCCGATGCTCAGGGATTTTCAAAAGGAAAATCACCAGCGCCAAAATTGAAAAATATTGATGAAAGATATGCTGACAAAATCTGACAAATTCAAATCACTATCGCAACCTTGATGCAGCCACTCCAATACGATTTACGAGGTCCAGCTGCAAAGACAATAGTATTTCGCACGCAGCCGCGGCGCCAAGCAACCTTGACGCAGCAAATTACAGTCCGATCTGCAGAGACCGAGTTGCAAAACACAATAGAATCGCAAGAACGTCGGCGAAAACGCGGCCTGAACTGGCAGTTACATTGCGGGGCCGATCCGAGAATGATCCCAAACGAACGTGTTCCCCAACCGCCCGCCGGACAAGCTTCCCCATCCATCTTCCGGGGCACTTTTTTTGTCCGGCAATTAAAACACAAAATTTCGTGCATCTGCTAACGTTCAGAAACCCATTTCGTGCGAGA